CCTTATATACAGAGGCCAGGTCTCTCCCTTGAAGTCAGAGCTCTCCATTTTTGGCAAGTCCAGCTAGTCAGCTTGTTCTGGGGACCCCATTCCCACTTCCCAAGTGCTGGGATTACAGGCAGGCTGCACACCAGCAGGGCACATGGGACAGATAATATGGGTGTTGAGAGTCCTCAGGCTTGTATGGAACACAGTTTCTCCCCTGCGCCAGCTCCTCAGCCTGGGACTTCGAGTACAAAGTTATAATTATTTTAAAGTTCAATCTCCACATTTATTTGTTTAGTGAAAAATTTTTAGATTCTTTGGATTTGAATCTAAGAACTCTGCCTAACTGAGGTCTTAAGATTTTCTCCTGTTTACATTCAGAGGCCTGATCATTCTTCCTCCGAAATGTATCTTAGTTCTGAGTAATATTTCTCTGACCAGAATTATTACCTTAACTAGAACTACTGAGGGAGTTTCCTAACTGCTTTTTTGTTCTTCTCTGGCCTCCCCTAGTCACTTCCCCATACAGCAGTCACAAGTGATTTTGACCTGAACTTAAATTAGATCACACTGTCTCCAGAAGAGACTGTGAGAATGGTTTGTCACCGTGCTTGGAATCCAGCTCTGAGCGTGGCGAGCATCTCTCCTTTTGAACTGTGACGAGCACCTCTCCTTTGCTCTCTAGGGCATCTTTACCATAATCTTGGTTCACTATGCTCTAGCGACCTGGGCTGTCTCTTTATTCCTTGAAAACACAAAACACTTTCCTTTTCTAGTCTCAGAATCTTGACTCTGGATGCTTGCTTTGCTGGAGCAACTTTCTCTGTAGTCTGTGAAGGATGCGCTCTGTTTCAGGTGTCTGGCAGCCCCTCCCCCCACTCTCTCTGTGCTATTGCTGCCTGTGCTTCCTTGCAGGACTGACTTCAGACCTCTGTCGTGACCTGTGTCATATGTATCCACTCGTTTTCTCAGCACTTTCTCCAGGAGAATGCCACTCCCGAGATGTCGTTTTCTTCTTCTCTGCTCCCTGTGCTCATCCAGTAGGAGACAGCTTGAGGCAGGTGTTCACTAAGTGAATGGAATGCTACCCCTACCAAACAATTTCACTTTCTGTTAGGAATTCTCAGATCTTTAGAAGCAATTACCTATGTATAAATAGAACGAATGACAAGAGCAAAGTAATTTATGGAACAGTTTCAGATCGGCATAGTTTTTCAAGGAATAGTTACAGTATACTAACAATTTCTTTAACATAAGGTTCAGATTACAACTGTCCACTCACTCAAGAAAGACGGCCTTTCATCTGGGTTCTGTGCCCAGCCACTCTGTATCAGAGAGACCATGAGACCGCGATGAGGAATGTCAAACGGCAGGCTCTCCTCGCTGGTGTCAGGCCGACGTCCCTGGGACACACTGTACATGATCTGCAAAGGATTGGTGACCTCTGTCAAAACAAATACATTTCATTAACCGGAAGGATGTTCCTAACACTAGTCAGATAAAGATGAGGTGATCTTAAAGTGTCAGACCAATTCATAATGCCCTTTCCTGCAAGAGGACGTATCTGCCAGACAGGGCCAGGCCTGTGCGCCTCTCATGGGAAATGAGGAGAGCTGAGCCAGGCAGAGATCAGCAGAGCTGAGCACAGCCAACAAGGGAAAGTCAGGGAGAGTTAATATGAATGAGAGATGAATGTTATCTGCTGAACTACCGAAATGCTGAGAGTATTCATTACATAACAAGCAGAATACTATAAATTAAAAAAAAAAAAAACTCCAGTTTATCTGGGGAAGACAAAGATTATTTTTCAACATTTGTTGGTATTTAGAGAGGAATAATAGTTAAAATCTCACTTTGAAAAGAATAAAAATAAAGACTTGAGGTTTTGTGGCTTGACCACAAAAGAACTAGAGTTTAGATTCTTCTTGTCCTTAAGTCAAGTACACTCTTCACGACTGATCCTTAATCTAAAGTACTTTGTAGCATGCAGTGGATGCATAACTGAAAAGCTGTTAGGTTTTGATAGTGTGGTTTGTGTACACAATGAATGGCAGGTATGTTTAAAATCTGATGAGCTTTAGATAGCTCTGAATGTGCACCAACATCTCCATGTCTTCTGGAATAAGGAAATCAAGGGCATACGTACCTTCAAAAGGCTGTTTTCTTGATAAGACTTCCCACATGATAATTGCATAGCTGTTTAAATTAAAAAGTTATATATCATAAGTGGACCTTGTACAATAAACTGGAGTAAAATTATTTAAAAATGAAACCATTTCTGAAGATGACAGGTAATGAAATGTTCGATGAGGAATCACCATATATAGTCAGGGAAGTGAATATTAATGCTTGTCTGAAAGGGAATTAACCTTTGTTTTAAAAAGGAATTAATTTCAATTAAAAATATGAAGTTGCCACAAAAATGGCTTAGTGCTACATACCAGGATAAATATTTGTGATAACTTAAGTTACTCTGAACATCTAGATAAAATGTAACTTCTAATCAGATGTCCCTGGTTTTCACACAAAACTAAGAGCAATAAAAGAAGTTTTTCTAGTATTGCACCATTCTTCTGACTTTTCCTGGTTTCAGTACAGTCTTTTCCTAGTGCGAAGAGTTTGACAACCATTACATTTCAGCTACAAACCACCTAGTTAAGCTGAACAGAGTTTACATTTGAAATAAATGAGAAGAAAATAGAAATTCTGCAGTATCTTCACGTGAGTTACATACTCAGAAAGGACACCTGATCAGGTGTCAGCACATACTCTGAGGAAAATGAGGATTACAGAGAAAATCCCACCTAGACCAAGGAAAATTATTTCCTCACTTTCCCCCTTATAGAGCTTAATATAAAACCTAACTCACAAAGCGAATGGTGAGCACATTGAAATTAGTCTGTTTTCAAGTTCTGATACAAATAAGGGAGAAAGTACAGAACAAACACTAACCCACGCTACCGGAAAAACAGCCAACAAGACTACAGAATTAGTAAGTATCCCCGAGTTGTAACCTTAAATGAAAACGGCCTCAACTGGCCTTGCTGGAGGCAGTGTGGCCTGAATTAAGAAACAAGAGCCTACTTTCTACTGTCTCCGAAAATCATACCTATTGGTGAAGAGAAAACAAACTATCAAAAATGAAGTAGTTAGTCTGGTGATAGAGCCAACTTCCACCCAGCATTAGTCAGAAGAGACAAGGAAAGGCTGACTTCACCAAGAAGAAGTCATAGCTGTAAATGTGCATGCAGCAAACTCTGGCACTCCTAACTTCATAACACGGATGAATGGACACAAAGGCTTGATTTTCGAAACAATAATAGTGGGTGGTTTCAATCAGACAATAGACAGACCAGTCAAGCTAAAAATCAATAAAGAATTTTGGGAGTTGGAGTACATCATAGGTCAATGAATTGAACAGATGTTTACTGAATGTTCCGTCCAGTTGAAACAGAATACATGTTCTTCTCAGCAGCTCAAGGACCGTCTCTACAACAGACCACATTCTAGGCTACAAAGCAAGTCTAAGCAAATGCAAAGGAGCCAAAATCACCTCTTCTGTCTTTTCAGCTCCAAGTGCAATATGATTATACATCAACACGTGGAGAGAAAATCTACAGAAACTCTCCAACTATACAAATACATGGAGACTAAAGAATGAACTCTTAAATTACTGCTGAGTCTTTCAGGGAGTCAGAGAAGAAATTCTTAGTATCAAATTAAATTAATACACAACTTCAAGGTACATGTAAGAGGAACATTTGTAGCTATGAGTGCTTTAAAAAATCAGAAAGATCTCAAATAACCCAATGAAGTACATCAGGAAGTAAATAAAATGCGCGACCTAGTCAGGCGGCCATAGTGTGCATTCTGGAGGCAGAGGCAGGTGGATCTCCAAACTCGAGGCCAGCCTGGAATACAGACAGAGAGCCAGGACTACACAGAGAAACCATGTCTCGAAAAACAAAACTACAAAATAAACAAGTAAACAAATGAATAAACAAAACAAAACAAGAACAATCCAAACTCAGAAGCACTGGACAGCAAGAAATAATAAAGATCAGCACAGAACTTAATGAAATGGAGACAAAAAAAAAATGTTTCAGTGTGAGTCCACCCTTTAACAGCTGAGCCATCTTTTCCGTCTGAGAACTACACATAGAATCAATAAAAGTTGGTTCTTTAAAAACATAAAAAAGACAGACAAGCTTTTAGAAGAATAGCTAAAAGAAGAAGAGCAAAATTAATTAGATCACAGATGAAAAAGGAAGTCTACTTTTTTGTTTCCAATAAAATTCAAAGACTCATTAGGGAGGGCTTAGAAAACTCATTTAAAAAAAACCTGGAAAATCCAGGAGAAACGGTAAATTCTTAGATATATATTACCACCAAAATTAAATCAAGACATACACATACAAAAACACACACATATACATACATACAAACAAATACACACAAACACACACACTAGGACACATCACAGAAAAGTCTCCTAACAAAGAAAATCTCAAGATCAGATGGATTCAACATCAAACTGCCAAGCATTTTGCTTTTTTGGGACAGACTGTCTGTAGCCCTGGCGGTCCTGAAACTCACTCTGTTGACTAAGCTGGGTTGAACTCACAGAGATCCACCTGCTTTTACCTCTTGAGTGCTGGGGTTAAAGACATACACCACCAGGCATGGCTTTCTATCAGGCGTTTAAAAGAGTTAAAAAAAGAGGCAATGCCAGTGTTCTTGCAACTGTTTCGTAAGTGAAAAGGAAAGTGACACCTATCAAACCCATTCCATGAAGCCAGCACTGAACTGATAGCAAAACTGGATAGAGATACAACAGAAAAAGAAAACTATCGTCCAGTTTCCTCGATGAACATATATGCAAAAACTCAATAAAATTCTGCAGATCAAGTTAAAAAATGCATTAAGCAGATCACCAAGCTGGTTTCATCTCAGATATGCAAGGTTGGTTTAACACTTGCAAACCAGTCAGTGCAGTTCAGCATTTAGATACAATGACAGAAACCACAGCACCACTCAATCCAGGAAAATAACCAAATCAAACCAAACCAACTCAAACCAAACCAAATCAAATCAAACCAACTCAAGCCAAACCAAACCAAACGGTCTGTCTTTACAGAATCAGGCTAGCTGGACTATGTAATATTTATGTAGCAGAAGCAAATCCATTCTGTTCTCCCTTACTGCGCACCTCATATCAATGAATGGAAGCTATCAGGGAACAACAGAAGAAACATTCTTTTTCAAACAATAATATGAAAGTGAAGGATATTGAGCCAGGTGCTCACTGACACGAACTGGCTGCCATGGACTGAAGGAGAAGTGTAAAAAAGTCCTTTCTTGACAGAAGCTGTAGATCAGCTGATGATGTAATTTTCTAGTCAAGACATACCATTTACTACCAAAAGCAGCTTCATTTTTACTGTTAATTTATCAAAGTTAGCAAAAGTTGTTTAAAAGAGCTATAGAAGGTATTTAAAATAAATGTAGGAAGCCTGATTTTATTCCTTTGCAAGTTAGAGACAGATGTGAATTGCTCATGAGGTAAAAGTGCCCATACTCTAATTCTGTGAATAATAAATTGTGATCCTCTTTTTCTCTGGTCAAAGAAGCAATATTAAAAACAATAAATTATGCCTATTACTGCACTGTGAGGTTACAACTAGCTGCAAATGAAACATGAAACCATAATTATATTAAGCATGGTAATTTGCTGTATAAAGGATCCATATATAAATATAAGGGATAATTTAAATAAAAACATCCCTAGTAGGTTTAACAGTTTGCTTACTTCTCTTAAAACTGAGCAATGTATAAGTAACCAAGACCAAAGGTTATGGACTACTGTTCTCCATGCTTTCCCAAGGCACTGAAAACCTCCGAGCATTTTTACACATTCACAGGACAAAATATATACCTTCATATCTTTAAACAATGCTGAAATCACTTAAAGCAAAATGTTTAATTTGAAAAATATCAACCATTGTGGCCTCTGATTTAATTCTATCATAAGTTATAAGTAGAAAATCTCATTAAAAAATATAGTTGAAAAATCTGGCTGCTTAATCTTACGTTTTTGATAAAACTAAAGCAATCCTGGTACCTGTATATGTCGTGCTTCACGCTGGCCCTCGACTTCTGCCCAGGTTCATAGTTCTCAGGCGGCATATAGATGATTGTTCCTCCTTCGGGGGCAGATTTGCTACTTCGTGATTGAGAGAGCGACATCATGCGCCATTTTGATAAACCAAAATCAGCAATCTGTAAGAGGAAAGAGATGAATTAAAATTTTAGATCTTTTTTACTTTAAAATGTCCAAGAGTTAACTACCTTTGTTTTCATATATTGCATCTGTAATGGCTATCAGTCCCAAGAAAAGCTATATACTGTTAACATTCCACAGCCTCTTAACAAATTACATACCATAGTGCTATGCCCAATAACTCTAGATGATTATACACTGATAAGGTTTGTAACAGAATATCACACATTTTTAAGGTAAAATAATGTTTCAGGATCTGAATATACATAATGAATATTTTTTTTATGGAATGAAGCTTTAGGGTAGGCTGTGTTTTCCAATCCCCCACCACCAATATTTCTCCTCATAAGCCATACAATAGACTGAACGTTGCTTACAAATGGTCTTTAAGAATTCTTTTTGTGCAGGGTGGTGATGCATGCTTTTAATCCCAGCACTCGGGAGGCAGAGTTCGAGGCCAGCCTGGTCTACAGAGGGAGTGGTTCCAAAGCTACAAAGAAACCTTATCTCCAAAACCAAAACCAAAACCAACCAACCAAACAAAAATTCTTTTTGCTAAATTTATTCATTTGTTCATGGGTGTGTAAGGATGTGGCTGGGGAGGTCAGAGGACAGTTTCAGGACAGTTCCCTCCTTCCATCACATGGGTTCTGAGGAAGGAACAAGACAGTTTGCCAGGCCAAGTTTACATGGTATTATTCTTGTTCTAAAATTAGTGTCAAATTAGATTTCAAAATAAGTAAAATGTTTCAGTAGTAAGAAGTCACCACTATATGCTTTTTGCTCACTACTAAGAACCATTTTGGATGGCACATATCACACTGTGTGCCCCTACAAGAATGCACAGCTAAAGAACTGACCAATGGTAAGCATGCTTTATTTTAAGTATGTCCTTTACAGTTTTCTTTCTCTTGTAATTTATATAGGTTATATAACTTTCTTAATGTTTAAAAGGTTTCTTACTCTTTAAAAATAAAAGGTAAAATGTAAGACCAGAAATGTTACTTAGTGGGCAAAGGAGTATGGGAAAATTTTATAAAGACATTTAAATTACTTAGACTCCAAAGTCACAGAGAAACCCTGTCTCGAAAAACCAAAAAAAAAAAAAAATACATGTAATGGTCTGTCCTGTCCCTTTACGAGACAAGCCCCACCCTCTCCCCCCATCCCCACTGCCAAGGCAGGTAGATCTTCCTTCTGCTTCCAGTCTGAGCCCTTCCTTTCTTTCTCTCTCCCAAAGAGGTAGCTGCTGCCGTGGCTCCTCTCCTCCCCCCCCCAACCTCTTTGTCTACCTCTCTCTGCTCTTTCCCCTTCTCTCCTTCCTCACTAAATAAATATCCAACCTCACTCTGCATGGTGTGCCTATCCATCTTGGTCTCTCGCCCACCATGTGGCTCACTGCCTAGGCTCCCTGCCTAGGACCCAGAGGCCCTCACTGCGTGGCTCCCTGCCTGGGGTGGCTGCCTTTCTGGCCTGCCGTGGTCTCGTGCCCGCTGCCCACTGCCGCCACTTGGGAATCTGCAGCATTTTACTTTTAACATTACAATACACACAGAAGAAATTGAAAAAGGGATGGGATTTATTCAGGATAATTGGTATTTTGAGAATTTATATCTTGTGTTTTTGTATTTTTTTAACAGAAGAATTACTTTATAATCTGTGTTGAGATGAATGAGATAAAGATTGTGGATCCTGGACCATCAAATACAGACTGCACAACCTTTCACACATTTCCTAAAAGCTTAAGAAACAGCAACTATGAAAAGACCAAGAGGAGATAAACTGTCAGACAGTGGAAAGTGAAGATAATGAAACCTCAGTTACGAACACTGGGTTCTGGAGTGGAGGCTATTTCAATTTACAGTGTAATTCTACCATTTAATCCGTTGTATAACCCCAAGGAAGTTGTTTACTTTCTCTGTATCCTACACTGTTCATCTGTAGCTGGGGATAAAGCATCCAACAGAAGTGTGTTGAGGTAACTCATCAAACTAGTCTTTCTAGGGAATTATTCAGAAGAGCATCTGTTGTGACATGACACCCTCTCCATACAAGCTAGTCACCATTACTAATGTATGCATTACTGAATCAGCCTAGTATATTCCAGTTACATGTATACAAACTATTTAATAATTGAAAACAAAAACATTTAAAAAGTCACGTCAGTATGAGTTCTAAAGAAGGGGAAAAAAAGTGTTGGCTTTGCAAGTCTATATCCTATTTAGAACCTATTCCTTAAACCTGATTAAAAAGCCTTTAAAGAATTTGTAAAGGGGTACTTTAAGTTATTGAAAGGGAAACTTTAAAAGTGATTGGAAAATGCAGAAGTCAGCAAGAATTTATGGAAAGCAAATTACAAAGATCAGTGCTAGCCAGGAGGTTGTGGCGCATACCTTTAATCCTAACACTTGGGAGGCAGAGGCAGGTGGACCTCTGAGTTCAAGGCCATCCTGGTCTACAGATAGAATTCCAGGACAGCCAGGGCTACACAGAGAAACCCTGTCTTGAAAAACCAACAAAACAAAACACCAGTGCTCAATTTCACACTGCACATAACAGAGGCATTCCACAAATAATAGAATAAAAGAAGACAGATTTCTTTGGTAGCTTTGCTACTGTATCACCAAGCTAGTGTTTCTAGAAGCGTCTATAAGATATGCTGCTCTAGTTACACAATAACATATTTGACTATTAACTGATGAGATGTATTTATTACATGCAGAAGATCTGAAATGAACTCATTTGCTCACTTTAATTATGGGATGCTTCTATACAGCATGTGCTAGGCATGTAGTAGACACTAATCTGGGCTAAACTGTTTTCTTCATGAATCTTCAGTCTAACTGACCAGCCGGTCTGGGCTGCATGAGACTCTTTCACAAGAAGAGGAAATAGGTGTGACCAGGCAGTCACACCATCAAATTAATCATGGTAATTAAGAAAGTCATGCCAGTTGGTGAGAAGTTATCACGGGGAAGCATGGGGTACAGGATAAAACAGGACACAGAGGAGAGCTAGGTGGCATAAGGCAGAAAGACTGGCTGTGTGATGGTCTGAACCATGAGGACCTTGGGAAGAGCAGCCAAGCAAGGGCTCCCCTAGGAGTCTTGAGGAGGAAGAACAATGGTTCCTACCAAAAGATGCCTAAAAAGCTGAAGGATGACTTCCCAAAAGTACAGTTAACAAAAGAGCTGGTCCTCGTGGTCAGGAGGTTCTAAGGGCTGCTGTGCTACTCTGTCAAGGGAGGCTCAAGTCTAATTCCCAAAGAAGACCACACCTGTCCAGTAGGACAAAGGAATTCTTATTTTGTTTTCACAGAGGGTGAGAGTCTGTGGATTACTTCCATTCCAATGTGGTATGATAGACCACGTCCTCCTGAATGGTTCCTGTGCACGCCTTCAAAAAATTGCTTCGCTCAACTGCCAACTGAGATGAAACTAGCACACAGGTTATACCATGAAAGACCTAATTAACGATGCCCCCATTCAGCAGGAAGCAGTTTGGAGAGAAATAACTGCGCCCATGTTCCCAAATATGGTTTATAAACGTTCTTTTACATTTAAAGGGGGATATGATATAGGTATGAATAATTTGCATTAGTATAGATTTTGCTTTATTGATAGAGATTTAAGGTCAATTTTGTTATATGTATAAGTGTTTCTGATTTTGATTAAGGTACTGTGATTGTGTAGTTCATTTAAATATGTACTGTATAATTAAGAAATATAGGTTGTTAATGGCTAATCATCGATAATAGTAAAGCTTGTAGTCATGTTAGTTAGATTTTCTAGATATATAGAGATATATTTTAGATAGACATTCTTCATGTCTTTCAAAGATTACAGAATAGGACATTTAATGTTTTAATAACTGAGGACTTTTCATGACAATGAGACACTCTGCTCCTGGTAGCACCAATCTACTTCAAGAGGAAGATGGGCATCGAAGAGGCACCTTATGGAGTTTGATAGCCATTTGGGCAAGAAACTGCTCTTGCCTGGACTATTGCATAAACTGGACACAGAGAACCCGCAGAGAGAGGACTACTGAACTTGCCTAAGGTGAGATGATCTTTCGGGGTTCCTGATTCATGAAAGAGTCTGCGAGACATTCTGCAGGACACAACAGATAGTGACTGAACTGACTTTGAATTTTCCTGCTTTATGGAAATGTCTGCTGGATACCATGGGCCTGAAGGCTGAAGATGGATGCCCCAATGGTACAGAGGAACTTTGGGTGACTGTCCAGGCAACGAGATGTCTCTGTCATTTCTAGAGTTTTAAAAGTTGCTTTTTTCTTGTTTGTTTAGGTAGTATTGTATCTTTCTGGAGTCTTTGATGGAGTTAAGAATAGTTATAGTTATAGTTTTCCTTAGTTATGATAAAGATTATTGTAACTTTTACTTGATAACTGTTTTGTTATATGTAATTTTGCTATGTTAAAGTTAAAGCCTTTTTTTTTTTTGTTTAAACCGAAAAAGGGGAAATGATGGAGGAAGGTCATTGGCTAATAAAGGAACTGCCTTGGCCCATTTTATTGGTTAGAAGATAGGTGGGAGGAGTAAACAGAACAGAACGCTGGGAGGAAGAGGAAGCGAGCTCAGACTCCACAGTTCTCCTCTCGGGAGCAGACGCCTCAGAGAGATGCCATGCCCCACTCCTGAGCAGACACACGCCATGAAGCTCCGACCCAGGATGGACTAGGCTAGAATCTTCCCAGTAAGACCGGTTCTCACAGATTATTAGAGATGGGTTGATCGGGATGTGAGAATTAGCCTGTAAGTGCTAGAACTAAAGGGCCAAGCAGTGTTTAAAAGAATACAGTGTCCGTGTAATTATTTCGGGGCATAAGCTAGCCAAGCAGGCAGCCGGGGTGCTGAGGACGCAGCCCCGCCGCTCTTATTACTACAGTAACCCAAGCTGGTCTTGAACTCTTGATCCCCCCACCTGCTCCTCACAAGTGCTGGAATTACAGGCAGCATTCACCTACCATGCCTGCCCAAGAAACTTATTACTAAGTACTTAGGACTACAAAAATCATACTTTGGTTCAACTCTGCATTCATCAGATTACGTCAGACATATTTTGTTTAGTTCTAAGGATCAAAATTTGCAGTTAACACCAAAGCATGCAATGAAATCGCGCAAGGGGATAAAACTCGTATCAACAAGGGACTGAATGAAGGCTGAAGAGGGTAAAGCTGGTTCAGCGGAGAAAAGGGGACTATCCTGGTGGGAAGCAGACGCAAGGCTGTCTCCAAATATCAGAACGGCTGCTGTACTGAAGAAGAGTGGACTTATTACATTTATCAACAAAACGTGAGGTAGAAGTAAGGGAGGAAAGCAGGGAGGACGTCTGGTTACTGGGAAAGTGCCAGTTGTTCATGTACAGACGCTGTGTCCTCTCTGTGGAGCAGCCACGCTGGGAACAGAGGCCCAGCTCACCTAAGGTCTCGCAGAGAAATGGGAAACCTCAGTCAAGTCCCTCTCCCCTTCTCCGCAATGTTGGGCCGCAAGCTTGACCTTTTTTCTCTTCCCAAACTGCCATTTTATTTCAAGAAAAAGGAAGTGTATTCAGTCATTTTTTTTTTAAAAAAATTAGTTTTTCTCATACTTCTGTGTTAAAAGTTGGTACTGTTACAACTTCTCTAGTAAGTAATGGAGAAATATGTATTTCTTTGAACATTTTTAATGTTTAAAATCATCCTCTGACAATGTATGTATAGAAATAGGTAGCTAGAATGCTAGATAAAAATAAAGTGAGTTGCATTTAGTATTAATTCCTCAGCAGTTACTCCTCATTTGAGTTCCTCCATTCTGTACAGGGTTACAGTATACCTTGCCCTGTACACAAAAGCAAATTCAAAGCATGAGACTTCCATATAACACTAAGCATAGCACTAAGAAACATTAGGAGGTGACACAGAGGAATGCTGTCACTACCTAGAGTTAGGGGGCAGGGCTTACCAGTGATAGCAAGAACACGGCCCTTAAGGGACAAAGGTGATAAACGGGACTTCAGCAAAGACGAAATTTTTCTTGGTGGCAGGCTTTGTTAAAAGGATAAAAATAGGCCTAGGGACTGGCTCAGGGGTAGAGCACTGCTGGGCCTCAGAACTCACATAAAGCCTCCAGGCGTGGCAGGATGTGATCAGAGCACCAGAGAACTGGAGACAGGAGGATTCCTGTCACTAGCTAGCTAGCATAGCCAACGATTTCACACACATGTGCACACCAGCACACACACATTCTCCATGAGTCAGTACAAACACAAACACATGGCTGACAACGTAAGTTGTGGAGAAGTATTTGAAAGGAAATATCTGAAAATTATTATCTAATGAAGGACTTATATTTAAAATATATACAGGGTTCTTAAAATTGAGTGGTGAAAATGAACAATCCAATGAGAAAACGGGCTCATTCAGGAGGCTTTTCAGTGGAGAGGCTCTGTGGGTGGCAAGGAGGCTTCTGAAAAGTGCTCAAGATCACCTATTCCTGTCCAGTTTCCGATCTGAAGGCTGCGTCTAATTATGCAGGGAAATGGGTAAAGGGAACATGGAGCCACCTTGCACTATCTTCATAACATTCTATGACTCTAACACTAATTTCAAAATAGAAAATATTTTGACAATTTTAATTAAGAAACACAGTGAATTGCTATTTTGTAGCAAATTCTATATCTAAAGTTTAAGAATAGCTGAGCCTTAAGCTAGGTGTGGCTGCACACACCTTTAATCCCAGCGCTCAGAAGGACTTCTGTGAGTTCCGGGACAGCCAGAGATACATAGTGAGACCCTGCATCACACAAACAACAAGGAATAACTGAACCACTGCAAGAAAGGGGCCGGTGTGGAGAGCCCACGACGTCCTGACTGACACCAGCCAGGCCGTACCAAGGACCGAATGCCCCAGACCAAGTGGCAAAGCCTTCTTCTGGTCCCAGCGCAAATGTTGGCTCGTGTTCAAAAGCCAGGAGCTGGAGCTTCCTCCTCCAGGATCTTCACAGCCTGAGAGGTTTCATTCCTTCAGGCATCCAGCTGGGTTTCCCAGCCCCAAGCCTCACGGGAGGTGGTGCTGAAGACAGCAATGAAGACACTACTAAAGGATTTCTCAGGATTATTAAGAACAAAGACTCAGAGAAAGTCCCCCCCCCAAAGTAGTTACCTTGACATGAAATTCATTATCCAACAAGATATTCTGAGTCTTCAAGTCGTGATGAAGGAGAGGGGGATTCATATTGTGCAGGTAATTCACACCAAGGGCGATTTCATGCAGGATGCGGAATCTCAACGGCCACGCAACTTCAGGATACTCAGTTTTCTTTGTATGGATGAAAGACACAAAACAAAATATTACTACCTTAATTTAACAGTTAAAAATTAAGAATTTCACGAGGAAATAGATTATAAACTAAGATAAAACACACGCTCAATTTTATAACATTGTATCAATTGATATTTTGTTTGATATTATTGTATTTTACTTGAATTTTTAGAGATGTTTATAATGACTATAGCTGTGGTATTTCTTTTTATATTGGCCATGCAATTGCATGGTATTACTGCCTCGTCCTGCAGTCGGCACAACTCTCAGTTGCTGTAGGAAGTTTTACAGCTTGTAGTTGCCCGCCTACTAGGGCGTGACCCTTTTTCTCTCAGGTTCCCCTTGCTCCGTTCCAGGCTGGCTGCTCCTTTTGGATTCAGCTGGTCAAGCGGAGAATTCTGATTTTTGAGTTTTCCCCCTAAAGGAGTATCTATCTCTCAGTTCTGAGCTAGTGTGGGATTTTTTTAAGCGGCCACTCCGCCACCACTCAGTTATTTGTAGGCGTACAAGGTCAGACACATAAGGTTATACTCCACCCACTGCTCACGCCTGTGGCTTCAGCAAATAACTTATACCCATAAGCACACGTACATACAGAAAAAGATAATAATTTGCTTCTGACATACCAAACTATTCGTTGGAAATTTTGACCTTTTTTTAAAAATTAATTTAAAACTACAGTTTCAAAATTGCCTTGGGATTCTTTCTGAAACTGTCTGCTTACATTTCAGTGATCAATTGGTAGGAATGGTTCATAATATTATAGGCTCTGTACATTTTCATTTTATTCAGTGATCTTTCTGATGCTGTGGGTGAGTAACTGGCATATTTTTGAGGACATCATACTAAGGATCCAAAAATACAAAACACTAGCATGGATGGTTACCTCCCGGGAAACACGCCCAGCTCAGGACCTTGGAGTGAGTGACTCTTTTGTTGGTCTGTAGCGAGTCAACTTTTCAAAGTATTATGAAGTTTAAAGTCACTATGGGGCCTTTGAATGACAGTGTCACATGGGGGTTTTCCCTCATGGAGTCAAGGGTAGAGTGGCCACTCACTCTATAGCTTACGGTCACATCTAAGAGTTAGGAATATCCCTAGCGGAGGGGAGGCTACAGAATTTCCAGCGGGCTCCAAATCTGGGTGCCACAGTATCTATGACGATGTGGAAGGAGAACACTAGGATTTCTGTTTAAACTTCATTTCCCAAACAACGGAAAAGAGATTGAGCTTTATAGACTCTTGGTCCCTTGATTACTGGGGCAGGCACACAAACCTGAACAGACTGACACCAGTTACTTCAGTCCGTCTTTGTTTCAGATGGCCACAAGTCATGATAGAATGCGATGTATTCTGAAACAAAGAGGAAGTCACCCCATGAGTGGCTGGCAGTGGTGCCCGCTTGCCCTCGACTGCTCAGAAAGCTGTGCTACACTGTGACGTGGGCGTGCCGTAGGTGTCCTCAGGTGATTATGCAGCCCTAATTAACCCGAATCCTTATAAACTGGGGCATCTGACCTAAAAAGATTTGTGAAAGCCAATGCACATGGGAAGGAATCACAGTGTAAGAACACGCAAAAATAAAAATAGAATATAGGTATTTCGAGAATGTGGACCCCTAAGTTTGTTTGTTGATAGGATTCATGCATAAAAGACAGAGTAACTCATACCTTGAAAAAATTAGTAATGGTTCAAACTGCTATAGATAGAAAAATGTTACTGAAGATGATTTACTTGGTCCATTAACTAATAATACTTAATATGGCTTCTAAATAGTCACTAATATAAAATATGGATTAACAATTGGTTATATAGTATATTGAACGCATCTCATCTATTTCCCATGCCTATCTGTACATGAATATATTTATATATACAGTATAATATGTATACAGGGATTTAGTATGAACGTCTCAGTTACCTATACAAAATAATCTAGGAACTTTAAATTCATGCCCAGCTCCACATAGTTTGTAACAACACAAACAAAGCCACAGAAAGTAGAAGTTCATCAGTTCAATGGTGCTTCATATTCTTACTTGACTCATTGATATACTACAAAATACTGTGACAAAAATACTATAGACAGCTTGAGCAGACTAAATAATAACTGTAGTCACTGAAAACAGACAGTACTTACTCTATGTAGAAGTTCATTTAATGATCCATTTGGCATATATTCAGTAACTATGCCCAAAAATTCAGGCTCATTGCAAATTCCCAAAATTGGAAGAATGTAACTAAATCTAGCTTTATGTAGTATTTCAGCTTCTCGCAAGATATCATTTCTTTCACTAAGGAAAAAAAAAGGATAATTATTTCAGATAATGAAAAACATACAATGACCATGCCCACAGATTAATTAAGCCTGAATTTTTTCATTAATTAGCTATGTAGCCTTATGCGAGTTTTCAACTTCTGTGTTGCTTAGTTTCATCACATTTAAAACAGAGATGATATCCACTCTGTGTATTCTACTGGTCTGTTTAGACAGCAGCCAAAATAGCTTCTACAAACCGCTGGTGGTAAAAGTGCTGGACATGGTTATTACTGTACTTTCCACTGATGGTAAAAGCGCTACACACGGTTATTACTGCACCTCTCCCAGGAAAGAGAAGGAGCCCGTGAGAGAGGAAGCCCCCCAAGCTGACCTATGTTACAATGACTGATGCCTGAGCTAATTAAATTACTAAGATTATTTTATCCAAAAAGGAATACACTTGATTAGCATAACGTTACATTCCATGGTTATACACCATGTAAAAGTTTTCTAACATGAATTCTAAAATGTCTAAATATCGCAGATGTATTTGTACCACTCAGTGGTTCTCAACCTTCCTACTGCAAGGCTCCTTTAACACAGTTCCTCATGTTGTGGTGACCCCCAACCATAAAATTACTTTGTTGCTACTTCCTCACTGTAATTTTGGCTACTGTTATAAATCGTAATGTAAATATCTTTGTTTTCCGCTGTTCTTCAGTGAACCCTGTGAAAAGGGTCATGATCTATAGGTTGAGAACCGCTGGCTGAGGTGATGATAGCTATATCAAAGTCAGTAACGCTGAGAAATTACACACCAAACTCAGGAAAAGAACAGAGAAGAGGGAAGCACTCATAGCCGATCCCTGGTATCCATGTCTTGGGCATGAATAAAACAGGTAAATGGTTAACTTTTAGTACAAATAGAGTTACAGTTAGTATTTCAGAGCCTACAAACACAAAGAGGCATCTTTGCTTTCAAGGCCCATAATTCACGTAAGAAAAATAAATACAAGGAAGAAAGTGATAACTACCATATATCTTACATACATATACATGTATATACATATACATACATACGTACACACACATATAAAGGAAAAAGGAAAGCAAACTATGGGGCATGCAGAGGGGAAAGGATTTTGAGCAAGGCAAAGTCAGCGCAGTCTTCAACGATGCAGGCTCTCAGTAGAACCTGAAGTACGGCTAGAATTTAGCACCAGAGAGAAGGCTTCCCCAGGACTTTATCCAGTAACACAGTAGATGCTCAACATCCACGTGCCACGTGAATTAAGGAAGTGAAAGTAAAACTGACTGATATGAACTAGGGTGTGTAACAGTCTGTGTAAAAGGAGGGATGGTCAAGCAAACATGCCAGGGTCCTAAGACTCCCCAGGACTTCATCTGATGAGCGGCTGTGACCGGAGGTCCTGAGCGAGAGAAATCGGTAAGACGAAGTGTGCAGATAATTGTCTGGCACAGTGTATGGAATTAACAGAAAGAGGAACAGTTTTGAAGACTGTAACAATTTAGACTCAAAGCAGGGAGTGCCTGAAACTATAAAGTTCTAGTGAAAGAAAGAAGAAAACACCGGCTGAGAAGAATGGTAGATGCTGGGACGAACTGGCTGTAAAGGGCTTTAAAAATATACAAAGAAAGAGAAATTATATTGACGTCATCATTTTTTTTTTTAACTGTCCAGATGCATGGGTGTTGGTAGCCATGACATAAATAGAAACACTTCCAGGAGAAGCCTATTGGGTAACTGATGATGCTCATGCTGGCTCTTGAGAAACCCAGCTCTAGATGGACGGCTGTTGAAATGAGAAAAGCAACAGGCATTCCTGATAAGACTGCTGAGGACACAGACGGAGACACAGAGACACACACCCAGCCACGGTCATAAGTCATTTATTCTCTGAGTAGGCAATAGATTTTATGTTTTTAAATTCAAGAGGTTACAAGAAAACATGGAGTGGAAAGTTTATCTCTTCTATGTCTCTGACACTGACTATAAGGAAACCAGTTATATCAATCCATGAGGCCCATTTAATTAGACTCCAATTTCTCAAGTTCTGTATTTGCACAAGAGATTTGGGTCAACAAGACAGTTGCTGTGTGGTTCTTTACAAGATGAACCTGAAGACTGCTGGACAATGAGAAACATCCACAGAGAGGGTACACATAAGACACCCTTTCCTCCTTCTGTCCACAGCATGAAATAAGGCGTTGGGAGACAGGACCATTGGTGAAATGACTGTAATACAAGCAGGAGGGCCCGTTTCATTCTTCAAAATCCACATAAAAAAGCCAACAACAATAAAACAATCCAAACACTACCCCCCCCCCCAAATAAATGGTGGTTCTTAGGAACAACACCTGAAATTGGCCTCCATATCATACACATGGACCACCACATACAACATGTGTATACACTAACACACACATGTACACACACACACACATGAAAAAGTCTGATGTATTCCTCCTTCCTGTCAGCCACTTTATATGCACATAAACACCTAAAGCCAGTTCCATCATCTTCGCCTTACACATAGGGGCACCCAGAGTTAGAAAGACGAATGAGCCTCTGGTGACCACAATGATACAAAGGGACAGGATTTAAGTCAGATTCAAACTGTAGTCCTGGTACGCTAAGGTCTGTGTTGGACAGTTTGTCAGGTTAGATTTCAACAAGACTGAGGGGGAAAATAAAATTAAAAAATTATAAAAAGCTAAAAATGTAGGACAGTTTCAATAATTATATCACCAAAATTACCCAACTCAAAATTTCAATAGGGAATACTTCCCCCATATCCAGGGTACTTGAACAACCAATAGGAGGTCCATTAAGGTAGGAAGAACTCTACGGAAGGCCCATTCATTGGTTACAGAGAAGGACTCATTAATCATTAAAATAACATGTAACGTCACATAAACTTATTTGCCTTACAGGTCATCTTAAAGAACAATGGGTACTTTATCTACAGTAGAGACAATAATACACATACGTGTTAATTATTCATATTTTATAAATGAGGAAATAAGACATGCCGAGTCAATTGCATAAGCCCAGGCCTGTGTACTTGTTAAGATCTTAGGCAACAAGAGAAAAGAACCAGTGCAGTAAGGTCCCAGGATTTTGTTGCTCTTAAGAAGACAATTTCCTGTCTATTTCAAGAAAACTGTACAGTGACGTGGCTGGGGAAGATGGAAAAAGAAACTTCAACTTTATCCCTTGGCCCATAAAGAGCACAAAGCTTGGGTAAATAAAAACCTTGAAAAGCAGACTCCAAAGTGAGAAATCAGCTAGCTTTGGTATACTTAGTGGTCTATGAGTGCTACATATCCAGAGAATATTTGTTTACTCGGCTTCTGACCAACCTCCTTTTAGAGCTGACTTACTGAAACACCAGCACTGGCTCAAGGACTGTGAGGCCCTCTATGAACAGGCACTACACCTTGTACATTCCTGAATCTGGATCAAGGTACACAAAAAGTTTCAGTGTTCCAAACTACAATGAGATCTAGCCCACGGTGGGGGGGGGGGGGGAAGCTACAGGATGAAGTCAGAAGAGGTATCCGATGTCAGATCTGACCTCACACCAGACATGAACAACCTCTGGCCAATGGAGCTGCTAAGCCTTCTGCATTTTCATGCTAGATCCAGAAGAGAACGTGGCAACCACGGATGTCTGGTTAAATTCCCGATAAAAGGAAAGCACAAGACTACTGACTAGACCCATTGACTAACACACACAGTCACAAAGCCATGGTATGTAATTGTGATGTTTTCCTGGAAACAGAAACCAACGCTTTTTTCTTTCTTTCTTTTTCCTGATGTGGAAACTGGACCCAAAGAATATCAGAACATGAGGCGGTCAGATTTTTTTTTTATATTCATTATTTTTGACCATTTGACAATCTTTGAATTCAATTTACTGCTACAAAAACAGCGCACACTTCCTTTGAGGACTTCCAAAGTAAGAGCTCGAACAACAGCTGCTAATGTAGAGTCTGATATCTGAACTTCATAACAGCATGGAATAAGCCACAAACAAGACAAAACCAACCAAACCGCACCAAAACAGGCAAGCTCTGGAGCAGCACTGATGAATAAAAATACGGAGTGGAAAACATATGCGACCCCAGAAAAGTATTTTGACATGTAGCCAATATAAATACACCGGCACATTTTTGTTCTTAGGACTAAATGTTCAAAATCCGGTGTGTATTTTGCACTCACTCTTTATTTCATTTCCGAGAGCCCAGTTTCAAGAGCTCCAGAGCTCTTGCGGCTAAAAATAAAGCGAAGCCAAGAGCACTGCATCAACACACGTCGGATTCAATAAACAGGCTTTGATAGGCTGCCGTGATTGCCGGTTTCTGGAGGAGAGACGAGCGGGAAAGTGGGGCGCCGTCAGGGCAATTCCTCCCCCGGACCCCATACCTGTCCAGCAGCGGCGTGTGGATGTGCAGGTGCTTCACGGCCACCCGCACGCGCCAGTCCGCGTGGCGAGCCGACGACACGGTGCCCGAGGCGCCGCGGCTGAGGTAGTGCAGGTCGGCGAGCTTGTGGTAGGGGATGGGAGGCAGCGCGCTGCAGATGGCGTCCCCGTCCATGGCTCTGGCGGAGCGGCGGCGTCAGGTCGCGGGGCGGCCCATTCCCGCGCGGCCGCTGCAGTTCCGGCCGTGCCGGCTGTCCCCGGGAGCCCGTCGGTCGGGTCTGCGGTCGCGCCGGGGTGGACCTTCCTCCGCCCTCCTCCGGGCTACGCGCTCCTCCCTTGGCGGACCGCCCTCCGCCGCTTCTCCTTCGGTGTTTTCTCCCTCCACCCAGCTCCTCGGCCGGCCTCTCCGGCCGGGGCCTCCCCTGCAGGACCCTACCCGGACTGCCCCTCCCTTCTCAGGCCCCACCCTTCCCAGACTCCGCCCTCCTCATGCCACTCCTCCTCACGCCCCCCCTCAACAGGCCCCGCCCCTGCCGGGCTCTTTTTCCCGCAGGCTTCTTGCTGAGCAGGCTCCGCCCTCTGCAGGCCACTCCCTCCACAGACCCCTCCCTCAACAGGCTCCTCCCCTGACAACCCCGCCCTCTGCAAGCTCCTCCCTCCGCGTGCTCCGCCCCCGCAGGCTCCTCCCTTGCTGACCCCCTCCCTCCGCAGGCCCCGCCCTCCATAGGCCCCGCCCTCCGCAGAACCGCCTTCTACAGTCTCTCAGCAGGGCTCAGGAGCGTCCAGCCCCCTCCTGCAGGCCTGGAGCAATTTTCCTCAGGGAAAGTCCCTGCAGCGGTGTCCACGCTGATGTCAGGTGGGCAGGCCGGATTTTCCTTTGGCCCGCGGATCTGCTTTAGTCTCCAAACCCCAGAAATGATGGGGCGGAGGTGACTTCCTGAGAGGTTACCTCGACTCCAGTCTTTACTCAGTGGCTGCTGCTTCAGGAGTGAGGTCGAGAGGTAAGCGCTGTCAATGTGACAAATTGAGGTGTTTAGCTCCCGCTCTTCTACCAGGAAACTGTTTCTGTTTTTATTCTCCAAAGCTACAAGCAAATCGAAAGACATAACCATTTCTTGTGTTTGGAAAGGCTGCTATCCAAAAACAAGTGGACAAACTACTCAAACCCAGTCACTATTCCATCTTTTTACTCTAAACATGTTTCTACACAGATGATTGTTCTACAGGGTGTTTGGCACAAATATGATACCTCAGTTTCATGATGCCACACCCACCAGGATACTAAAATCTGTAATTGTGTCCATTATATGAATAGTGTAATATATATAACATCGATACATCCTTTCCTAAACTTTTGTTCCTCACAGTTTGGTCTACAGTTTAGAAGTATGTGTTTTAGATTGGAGACACAGTCCAGTCATAAAGAGGACTTGTGGAGTACCTGAATTTTGTTCTTAGCATCACATCTGGTGGCTCACAGCAGCCTGACCCCCTCTTCTGACTTCTGCAGGTAGTGCACATACTGATAAATAAAAACTTCAAGCCAGGCTGAGGTGGCACACACCTTCAACCAGCCACTCTGGGATGCCGAGGCATCTCTGAGCCTGAGTCCAGGTTGCTGGTCTTCAGAGTGAGTTCCAGGACAGTCAAAACTACACAGGGAAACCCTGTTTCAAGAAACAAACTAAAACTCTAAATAAGTAATATATAAAATAAAGCTTTAAAAAGATGTACTTACTTACATATGGAGTTGAACTATAAATACGTATAAATTCCCAGCTAAGAATATATAATACATTTGGAAAAATTGTGCATATATACATTACATTTCCATAATCAACTTATTAAAGATAGAGAGCCTAAGATATTAATATGAGAGTAGATCTACTAACCAAGAACAAAAACTTAAAAGAAATGGGCAAATTAGCCTCAAAAATAAGCATTACATTTTTATGTTGAACTAAAGAAGTTCAAAATTCGAAAAAAATGTGTCAAAATTTTACTGTGAATAAAGTTTATTTGTGCCTGCTCTGCATTAATTTAGGAAAATAAATAAATAGCAGCTTTAAGTCATCTACGTCTCATTTAGAAATAAGACACATATATTTTCCAAAAGAAAGCAATTTTTGGGTGCTGGAGAAATGGCTCAGAGGTTTAGAGCACTGGTTGCTCTTCCAGAGGACCTGGGTTCAATACCCAGCACCCACATGGCAGCTTACAACTGTCTGTAACTCCAGTTCCAGGGGATCTGACACCCATACACAGTATATACAAGCAAAAAAACTAGTGCACATTAAATCAATAAGTAAATAAGTAAATCAGTAAATTAAATAAATAAGTAAATCTTAAGTGAGAAAAAAAGCACTTTTTCTTTTTTTCTTTTAAATTTTTTACATGCCAACCATGGTTCCCCCTCCCTCCTTTTTTTCTCCCCCCTCTTCCCACCACCCATCACCCATCATCCAGTCCTCAGAGAGGGTAAGGCCTCCCATGGGGAGTCAACTAAGCCTGGCATATCAAGTTGAGGCAGAACCAAGCCTCTCGCCCCTGCATCAAGTCTGACCATGGCCTCCCACCATAGGTAAAGGGCTCCAAAAAGTCAGTTCATGCATCAGGGATAGATCCTGCCACACCGCCAGGGCACCCACAGAAAGACCAAGCTATACAACTGTCACCCACTTTCAGAGGGCCTCGTTCAGTCCCATGCGGCTCCCCAAGGGTTAGCCTAGAGTCCATGTGCTCCCACCAGCTCTTGTCAGCTGTCTCTGTGATTTCCCCGTTATGATCTTGGTCCCCCCTTGCTCATATAATCCCTCCTCCTACTCTTTGACTGGACTCCAGGAGCTCTGCCCAGTGCTTGGCTGTGGATCTCTGCATCTGCTTCCATCAGTTACTGGATGAAAGTTCTATGATGACAATTAGGGTGGTCACCAATCTGGCTATAGGGGAAGGTCAGTTCGGGCATCCGCTTCACTATTGCTAGGAGTCTATTCCCAGGGGTCATCCTGGTGGGTTCCTGGGAATTTCCCTAGCACCAGGTTTCTCCCTAGCCCCATAATGGCTCCCTCTATCAAGATGTCTCTTTCATTGCTCTCCCTCTTTGTCCTTTCCCCAGCTCAACCATCCTGTTCCCTCATGATCTGTTTTCTCTCCCCCCACCCAGTTTACCCAGGAGATCTCATCTAATTCCCCATCCTAGAGCCATCCATGCATGTCCCTGATCGGGTCCTCCTTGCTACCTAGCTTCTCTGGTGCTGTGGATTATAGTCTGGTCATCCTTTGCTTTACATCTAATATCCACTTATGAGTGAGCACATACCATGTTTGTATTAAGAAAGCACTTTTCCAAAAAAAAGCATACTTTCAAGCCACGTATAGAGGTGTTGATACATGTTACCATCTAGGGTCATGGATTGAATTCATTTTCTACAACAATTTAAGAATTAAAAGACAAAAATTCACAGTCACAGCAAGCAAACAAGATTTGTTAAAAGTGAAGTGTGTATGTGCATACACACATGCACACACCTCTTACACATACATGCACACTACACACATATACCTCACACACACCTCACACACACTACACACACCACACATACACGCACACCACCCATACACCTCACACACACGTCAAACATACCACACATACCCTACACGTGCACATCGTACACCACATACCACATACACACACCACACACACCTCACACACTACACACACTGCCCACACTGCATACCACACACACACACACCACACAGCATACAACACATACACACCACACACACACCACACACACACACCACACAGCGCACACCACACACACACACACACACCACACAGCGCACACCACACACACACACACCACACAGCGCACACCACACATACCACACAGACACACAATACACATACAATACATACGCACACTCACATACCACATCCCCTCACACCACACACACACAGAAACACACACACACACACACACACACACATACATCACACCACACCACATGCCACACAAAAGAACAGACTGGTCATAAATAGGGAGAAAATAGAACCAGAAATCTGCTTTGCCCTGGCGGCCTGGGATTTTTAAGTGTGTTGGTAGCTTAGTGTGGTTCCTCCTCTGCCTTTTTGAATAGATGATGGTGAAAACAGGAGAGTAGCTCTGTAGGATCTCATTGTGCAAGCTTAGATATAGCCAGAGCCTGGTAGAACATGTCTGGTAAGTCAGTAAGAAAGGCAGAAGTTTGCCATCTTGATTACTTATGGTCTGACTCCCTGGCTGCCTACCTGGCTGTCATCTGACTCCCATAATCCTTCACTTAAAATCCACATTTGCGAGGCTGACAGGGAGCTACTGAAAGACTATTATAAAACAAACAGAGCAGAAAACGGAGAAACAAGAGAAGTCAGAATTCCAACGCTTTCAGCCATCTCACATTGGAAACACCTAGAAAGGCCTGCAAGCCAACGTCCTGGAGAAACTGGCTCCGCACAGGTTATTGGGCATCTGGGGTGCATTTGGAGTGCTCTTGCCCCAAGTCTAACACTACAACTACCTTAATCTTAGTGATGTTTATACACATAAGCTAGTAAGTTGCCTAGTTTTTCCAGCGAATGATCTGTGTTCCTCAGTTAACTATTATTCTTTGTGAATATTCTATATGCAGTCCTATGCTTGAATGAAGACTTTTTCTAAGATATATTCAAGAATATACTAAAACCAACCTTTCAAGATGTCAGTTCCTAACATAGTTTTTCTTGAGCATATGTCAATAGAAAGTTATATCTTTATCACTTAGCATTCTAAAAAAATGTTAAGAAGGTGTGGTGGCAAGAATTAGAAATGTCCCCTAGGCTCATGCATTAGAACGCACTGTGTGTGGGAAATTCAGGAGTTATAGCCTTGCTGGAGGAAGTACCTTATTAGAGGTGGGTTTTACGGGCTTAGATCCTCCCCCTACTTCCTGTTCAACTTCTCTCTGCTTCATGTTTATGATTGAAGATGTGATCTTTCCACTTCCTGTTCTGGTCCTGGGCTACCACGTCTTCCCTGCCATTATGGACTCTTGGCTTGAACTGTGAGCCATAGTAAACTTCCATGAGTTGCTTTTGGTCATGATATTTTATCGCAGCAACAGAAGGTAACTAGGACAGAAGGTTAACATGTTTTTCTGCAAAACAATGGAAATTAAATAAAGCACGGGGACACTGAGTTAGTACAGAACAGATGGAATACAGCTAATGCTGGACTGCTCAGTAAAAGTGGGCCAGCTTCTTGAGCATTTCCATGTGAACTGGCACTCACTATAATTTGAACAAGCCCTTTCTGTTGGCTACAAGTTTTTCATGTTACAGTCCTCTGACTTTCTAAATGTTCTTCTGGCCTTCAGATTATCTACTCATGTTATATCAA